TGGCAGACGGAATAGGGGATGGTCCTAAGGTAAGGGTGGGGACAGGGAAAGTCTAGATGGCAGCGAACATGAGGGGAGAAGGAAAGCCTAGCCCCCAACTTTGTGAGGATGTTGGAATAAGGGAACAGGCACTGTGGAATGACCAAAAAGGAGTGGGTAAAAATTAGAAAGCCCAAAGCACAAACAAGCATAGGTGTCTGCAGGGTTGGTATTAGGCCCCCAGAACTTCTTGAGGACTGAATATGTAGCCCCAGCATCTGGAAGGAAGGAGACGGGTCCACCTGAAGTCCATAGCTATCCTGGGTTCCTGTGGAGCGATGGTCGCGGTTGGGTGATGGGGACCTGGGCCTCTGCAGTCCTCTGCAGCCAGTCCTAAGAGCTGGAAAGGGGAACCAGAAGGGCCAGATGGTCAGGGGCCGCTGTGGTCTTGGGGACAGTCAACAGCCCTCTGTCTCTTCTGATGGCATTTAGGACAAGGGCCCAGAGGCTTGTGATGCTTGGGACATCTACAAGCCCAGTGACCCATCTGACCACATTTAAAACAGGGTCAGGGCAGTCCAAGGTACCCTTCCAGGTGCCAGTGGAACCAGGGACAGATGCTGAGGCTAGAAGGACGACTTGAGTGAGCATCTGATATTTCTGCTTCCGGGTCCTCTTGTCTCTCCCGTTATACACCTTAAAGGCCACTCCCAGAACCTCAGCTTGGGGAATTAGGGGCTCCTCTTGAGGCACCTTAGTTTGGCCTTAATGTCAAGGACACTCTGGGAGAAAAAATTGGTCATTAGTAGTTGTCTCCCCTCTGGAGCCTTAGGGTCCAGATTAGTATATTGTAATAAAGCCTTGGTCAGGTGATCTAAAAATGCTGAAGGGTTTTCATTTTTATATTGGATGACTTCCTGGAGCCTTTTATAATTGATAGCCTTATGGGCTGCCTTTCTAAGTCTGCTATGTGGCAAGTAATGAATTGGTATCTACTAGTTACTCCTCCAGGGGAATTATAATCCCAGTTCAGGTTCAGATCAGGGACCACGTGAGTGCCAATCGGATGGGCAGAGGAGGTCTAATATACCTCATTAGCATAATCTCTAGCTTGCTCCCAAACTCACCTGCACTCTTCAGGCAGGAAGGTGTTAGACAAGATCATATGGACATGGTGGAAGGTCAAATTATATGATTGGGTCAGATATTGAAACTCTTTGATATATGTAGTGGGACTTGAAGTATAGGACCCAAGCCACTTTTTTATCTGTAGAAGATCTGACAAAGAGAAAGGCACATGAACCTGAATTATACCATCTACCCCAGCCGCCACATGTAGAGGACAAAGAGATGCAGGTTGGGCAGAGGCAACCCACGAGCATGTAGCGAGGAGAGAAGGGTGGAGGGGCCAAGGGGACAGTTGCTGCAATGGCTTCATCAGAAAGAGAATTGGGGTATGGCGGGGACTCATCCACTGGGTATGGGAGGTGAGAGCTAAGAGGACTTGTGCAGGAGAGCAAGAGTTGCAGAGAGAGGGCTTAGAACAATGTATGATATCTCTTTCTGTTTTCCCAAACACAATAGTTGAAAAGATCCCTGATAATATTGGGATCTAGAGTGTTGTTATCCAAAGGATATTGAGGACAGATCAAATTCCACAAACGAATAAGTTTTGGGGGTTTTAGTTCTGGGGTGAGAGACCATAGGTTAATCAGGAGGCAGCCTTGAAGACTATGGGAGGGAATGGATGAGGAGCCACCGATGGTGAGACATAGGAGGTGAGTTTAGAGGTTGGATGTCCCCCAGTCTCTAGTATCACCCAGTTGAGAGGATGGTTATGCTCAGGGGGCCGTCATCACTGCTGGGTATGCATCGGGGGCGGGGCCTAGAGAGGCACTTGGGCGCCCTGCTGGGACTATGTAGGGGCAGAAACTGAAAAGATTAACCCAAGACCAAGAGGTCTCACCAGGAACAACTCCCAATCACCCTCGGAGGTTTTCCTCAAAACCCAGGACCCAAATAAAAGACCATCTATAGACCCAGTAGACAGTAGGAATCAGCCGTAGCTGTGACTAGGGGTGCTTTGGACCACATGGTAACCCTGGGAGTGCCAGATGATCAATAGTCACTTCCCAGGATTATTTAGGTCGACCAGAGATAGGGGTCTTACCTGGAGTGTCTGGTGGTGGGTGCAGAGAGGGCATTCAGCAGAATGGAGGGCTTGGTCCTATGGTGGAATCTGGATGGAGCCGGGGACACTCAGTGACCCTCAAAGAGGGAGCAGGCACACAGAGGAACCCGAGATACACATGGGAGTTTATTGTCAGAGCTGACAAATAAAAGCCATCTCTCCATAGATGGAGAGAGGCAAAACAGGCTTGGAGTTTGGGATTTTTATGGGGCAGGCTCAGGGATTAGAGCTGGACAGGTCTGAATGCAGGTGGTTAAGGGTGGAGTTGGTATGAGGGAATGGTGAGCCTTTCTCAGAAATGCCCTTGGGCAGGAAAGCGAAATTTTTCTTAAAATGGCAACTGTCACTTAAGGTAGCTGTCTGATGCTAAGCAAGGACCTTACAGGAACTTCTTTAGTCCTTGTTGAAATCCCATGAGGCAGGCAAAGCACAGTCCAATTCATAGAGGAATAATATACTGCTGACTAGCTCAGATGGCTGATGTGATGAAGCTGGGCTATTGTCCAGGGTCTCTCTGATTCCTTTTGAGTTGGAGTCTGGCTGGCCTTGAACTCCTGGGCTCAAGTGATCCTCTTGCCTTCATCTCCTGAGTAATTTGAACTTATGATGTATCTTGGATTCACTAAGTCAGGGTCAGAACTAAGTCTGTAATCACCTGTCTTATGTCTCAAATTTGCTTGTTTTCTGTACTATAACCCTACTAAAAAGTATATCTAATGGTTTTTCTCCTTCTGGGATTTTAGAGCCTACAGCATTTGCTCATTTTTTAAGAAGCTTCTTGTTATTCCCCAAAGCTGTGTTGGAAAGAAGGGAAGATCTGCAGGATATAACTTTAGCCCCAAAGAGCAAACCAAACTGAGAAGGGATGGGGAGTTGAAGCAAGATTTTATTAATGCTTCAAGCCCAGCTCCGTATTGGGATACATTTCTGAGAAGAAAAAGTGAAATAGCATCCTGATAAGCCAAGCGTCATGACAGTAGGCATGTGGCTCCCTTAGGTAAACAACCTGGCTCTGGTTTCTCTCGGAGGAGCTGTACAATGGTGTAGTTTTACATTTGATGGCTTGAAGCTGGAAAACCTAGTGCAAGATTTTTGTTGGGTTCTTTGTAGATTTCAGCCCCTTTATTCTGTTCTCTCCCCAATGATGCATGCTCTTGAAAACAGAGAAAAGGTGATGGAAATCATAACCAGCAGCTTTAGTAAATATTCAGTCTTTTCCCTTCTCATTTCCTTTGAAAAGATGGCGTTGCAAATTTGCCAATTCATTTTTTTTTCCCAAGGCAGGGAAAGCAGAATTATCTGTTAAGAAATGTGCAGAGCTGCCAAAACCCTGCTGAGCAGCGCCCAACATCTGGAATTCAAACTGTTGCCCACGTGGGGAGCAAGAAAGCCATTCTCCTGCTGCTCATGGCAGATAAAGTCATGCTCATTAAGGCTTAGAGTGATGTCCGGGGATTCGATTCCACTGTTAGAATTCCTATCATTTTTCAGGAGTCTTGCCTCATGTTTCTGAAATTTCGTGGAGGTGAACCAGATGCTCTCTGAACAGTGGGCACGCTGCCCTCTGCCTGGAATTCCTCAGTTAAAGGCACTTGGTTTAAACATACAGCCACGGGATAGTCAGTAAACGTTTGCTAACCCGGAACTCCACCAAAAGAAACATGTTCAGTCATGCAGTTGATATGCATAACAATGAATCTGTTTCAGTATCTTCGGTTTTCTTTGTACTACACAAAAGATTGAATTCTATGGAATATCTTCTTAGAATTTGCACTTTGGATTTGGATCACGAAGTGTGCCATCAGCTTCGTTCTGCCCAGGGCTCACTGTGGCCATTGTGAGTGGACATGCCACTCTCTCTTCCAGGTCTCAGTTCGGGTCTATCATCTGGCAACCCCTGAAAACTGGGGGCACAGGTACTGAACTATAGAATGATACCAACTTGTCATTAAATTAACTGTTGAGTGTTTGTACAAAGAGCATTCAGTTGACAGCTTGATAAACAGGTTCTGTTGATCTTAGGCACAATCATATTGAGCAGAAGGCATTTTAATGTCCTAGCGATGTCCTTTGTGTGCTATTGGGTATTTTCTTCAGTGTGTGTGGAGCTGATCATCAACTAAGCGGGCCTCTGATAAAATCAGGCAATGTTAGTGGCATACATTAACAATCCATGTATTTGAAGGGTTAAAATGTGACTAAATCATAATTACACATAATTATGAATATGTTATCATCTGTAATCATAAAAGTAATAAATAATTCATAATTCATATACAATAAATCAGCAAGAGACTGTGCCATAATTAACAGCAACAGCCAACACATAGAAAGTGTGTGTTATATTTATGCAACTCCATGTGTTAATTTTTAATGAACATATACCTGTTATAAAATGCTCAGATTTTAAATGTATGGTTCAATGTACACATATATGTGTTATAGTTAAAGCTTTGATCCAGGGTTTCATAAACTGACTTCCAGACCACTCACATATAATCGAATCAAGCCTTTATTGAAGCACACCGGTGGCGGCTGGCCAGAACATAAAGCTCTTCCCCTGATCATCCCAGAACAATTGCAAGGGCGCTCCTTATAAGCCTGAAAACGGCAAAAGGGATGTTTGGGGAGATCTAGCCAATGCAAGCAAGCCAGGTTACAGAAGCAGGACAGTGCAGTCAAGCAGAGGGAAGCCTAACCAGTAATCAGTCACAGTTAGCCCAGTCACCCCAGTTACAGAAACGGAGCCCCGTTACCCTAGTTACAGAAACAATGCCCCATTAGGTAGTTCTGTGTTCTTAAAGGTTTCTATAGCAAAAGGAAAAGAACATCTTGCCCCAGTCATGACTCTTCTACTTGGCATGGTTGTTTTACAGGATGAAGTCATAAAACAAAATGGAGTCACATTTGCTCCTACTATCACATATGTAACCCAAAAACCTATCAATTTACCAAGGTATGGGTTATTTCCACCCTCATACCTGCAAATTATGTCCTTCCCAGTCAATTCCTGCCCTCCCATTTTTATCAGACAAGAGTATCCATATCTGACCTGACACCATATATGAGTGCTACCTGTTCTAGAACTTTTAATTAGTGAAATCACACAATTTTTATTCTTATGTCCATCTTCTTTCATTCAGCAAATGTTTTGTTTTGTTTTGAGATTAAGCATACCATTCCCTGTAGTAAGAGATCATGCTCTTTTCAGGACTGGTAAGTATTCCATAACATGAATTGGCTCATCTATTTTCTTATGGCTGGACATTTATGTGGTTTCCACTTTAAGATTATTACAAATTAAGCTGCTACATGAATGTAGGTTGATAAGTTATTTTGTAAATGTTTTCATTTATATGGGTAAATATATAAAATTAGAATTTCGAGTTCCCATGGTGTGTGTGTATAAATTTTTAAGAAACATGCAGCTAGTTTTCCAAAATGATGGAGCTACTTTCCCATCCACAGCAGTGTATGGGGTTCCAGAGGCTCCGCATCCCTGCTAGCTTTGATGGTGCGAACCTCTTTAGTTTTAGCCATTAAAGTATGTGGAGATATTTCCCTGATGTCGGTTGTAACAAGCACTTTCCCAATCATTCCTATCTATCTCTTTGTAGGTCTGCTGAAGTCCTTTCTCATTTTGTAATTGGGTGACCGTCTTCATTATTGACTTGTAGGAATAAAAGTGGACACTGGATGCAAGTCCCTGGTTACTTACAAGCCTCATGATTACTTCCTCCTGATCTGTGCCTGCCTTATTCATTTTCTTAACAGCACCTTTTGGTACGTAGAAAGAATACTTCCATGTTGTGAGGTCTAACTTTTTCTACCGTAGCGAGGAAGCTTTTGCCTACCCAGATTGTTTTCTGTGTCCTAACTATGAAATCTTTGCCTCTTTTTGGTATACACTTGTATTTTTTCACAGTGTACAGAAATGTTGTTTTATCTTTTCTTCTTGAAGATTTATAGGGTTAGTTTTCACATTTAGGTCTGGCACTCATCATGATGACTTTGTTTGAATTTTTGTCTCTGATAATGAGGCAAAGATCAAGGTTATCTGGTTGCTACAGTCACTATTTATTGAATTCCCTTTCCTTCTCTTACTGAATGGCCTTGGCACCTTTACAAAGATCAGTTGCTCACAGATGTATGGATCTTTTTCTAAAATTTCAATTATGTTTTAATAATCTGTCTATTCTAATGCAAATGCCACGTTTAATCTAGCTTAATTATAAAGGGCATCATCTTCCAACTTTGTCAGTGATTTTTCAAAGTTCTTGATATTTCTATCTAGATTTTTATCAGATAATCATTTTCCACCCCAAAAAACATCAGGTGGAATTTTGACTGGGATTACATATGATCTGTAGGAAGTTTTGGAGAATGTTAGTCTTAGTACTTCTGAGTTTTCCTATTCATGAACATGGCATGCTTCTGCCTTCTTAGACACTCTCTAATTTTTGTAAGTGATGTGGGATGTGCAAGTCTTGTGCATCTGTCACTAAGTGGACTCTTAGCTTTTTATTTCTCATATTATTGTTATTCTAAACTTAATTTTTCTTAGCTAGTATTCAAAAAACAATTAATGTTTGTGGATTGGCATAGTATGCTGTGACCTTGCCTAGTGAACTTGTTAGTTCTAAGGCCTACTATTCTGTACACGCATTAAGATTTTTCTACATACACAACCTTGTCATCTGCAAGCAAAGACAGTACTAATTCTTCTTTCCAAACTTTGTGGCATTTATCTCTTTTTCTTTTTCGTCCTTTGTTGCATTGTTCAGGGTCTTGAGCAAAAATGTTTGTAAGAGTGGAAAGGGCAGACATCCTTGATGTTTTCCTGATTTTGAGAGTCAACATTCGGGTTTGTTACCATCGGACTCAGTTTGCTGTGGATGTGGAAGTGTCCTTTATTAGATTGTGAAAACTTTTCTTTGTTCCCAGTTTGCTGAGAACTTTTTCAGGAGTGGATTTTGGATTTCATCAAATATTTTTCTGCCTCTACTGATAGAATCATGTATCTTTTCCCCCTTTATTAATGTGGTGATTTGCGTTTATTGTTGAATATTTAAATAACCTTGTACCTCTGAAATATGTCACCTTTGTTTATAATGTATTATTATTTTTTCACATTGCTGGTATTAATTTTGTCATGCATCCTTAAAATATTCTACATCTATGTTCCTGTGGCATAGTAGTCAGTACGTTTTCACTTCTTACAATGTCCTCATCTGATTTTGTCATCAGAGATAAGCTAGCTTCATACCATTAGCTGTAATGTAGCTCCGCGGTACAGCGCTTGCCCTGCTTGTGCAAGGACCTGGTTTTAATTCCCATTACTGCAAGAAAACAAAACAAACAAATATAAGCTGTAACATATTCTTTTCTCTATTTTCTGGAACAGTTAGTAGCTGACAAAGCCATTTGGTATAGGAGTTTCTTTTAGGGAAGGTTTACTTTATGACTTGATTTAGTAGCACATGTAGGGCTATTCAGATTTTCTTTTATCTTCTCATGTCCATTTCACTAAACAGTGTCTTTCAAGGAATTTGGACATTTCTTATAAGTCATCATATTTGTTGAAATAAATTTGATTATAATATTCCCTCATTAACCTTGAAATCTCTGTGAGATTCCATCACAATGTATCCTTTTCATTCTTTAATTTGGAAATTTTTCCTTTTTTGTTGATTAAAACTAGTTTTTTATTCTATTGATTTTTGCAATTGCTATCTATTTTCCATTTTGTTGATTTCAACATACTTCTATTTGAATTTGCTCTTTTTCTAACTTAGTTAGAATCTTCAATAGTGATTCTAGATTTCCTCTTTTGTAAGATTAGCATTTCAATCTTATTTTTTTTCTCAAAGAATTATAGCAGATGCATTCTACAAGTTTTAATTTATCGTGTTTCCATTCTCAGGGAGTTCAAAATCATCTCTTGTGATTTCTCTTATAACCCATGAGTTATCTTGAAGTCTGTCATTTAATTTGCGAGGATTTTTTTTTCAGGTATCTTTTGCTATTGGCTTTTAATATAATTTTGTGGTAACTGGAGAACGTATTCTGCATGATTTCAGTCCTTTGATGTTATTGAGACTTTGGTTTGTGGCCCAGCCTGTGGAATATCTTGATGAATGTTTCATGCGCATTTGAAAAGAATGTCTACCCTGCAGTAGTTGGCTTGAGAGTTCTATATTCAATAAGTAGGTGATGTCAGTTGAAAAAACTCATGAGGCCTTGCTGCTTTTCTGTGCACTTCTTGTTCCTGAGAGAGGATTTTTAAATCTGTATCTTTAATTGTAAATGTATCTGTTCTCTGTTTATTTCTATTGGCTTTTACTTTATGTAATTTGAAGTTCTGTTTTTAGGTGCACATACATCATGATTGTTACGTCCTAATTATAAATGGACACATAACATGATAAAATACCCTTCTCTATCCTTGGTGTTAATCTTGAACATGAATTCACTCTGTTTAATGTTAGTGATATAGCCACTTCAGCATTCTTAGGGAAAGTGCTTACATATTATCTTTTTTCATCCTTTTACTTTATTTTGTATCTTTGCATTGAAAATACTGCTTACAAAGAACCTAGAGTTGTGTCTTGCTTTTTGAAAAAATCTCACCCAACAATCTTCACCTTTTATTTATTATGTATAGTCCATTTATATTCATTTATCTTGATTATTAATATGATTTGTTTGAGGTCTACCAACCTGCATATTTTCTGCTTTTTTTCCCACTTTTATTTTGTTCCATTTTCTTGCATTTCCACCTTCTTTTGGATTTGACAAATAATTTTTAATTTTTATTTAATTTTATATTTTATAGTGGTATTTTTGGCTCCATCTTTTGATCTTATTTTTACAAGGACTACTGAGGGAATTACAATAAATATCCTTGATATGAATTAATTAATTAATTAATTAATTAATCAATCTGAATTAATTCTGGACAACATAAATCTGAGCCCTATAGAAGTTCATGTCGATACGTGTGTACTGTCTCCAACACACTCCTTCATGCTCTATCATCACATTTACTTTTACACAAGGTGTCACACACCTTATGCAGTGTTCATGAGAAGAGTAAATCTGATGCCTGTCACAATACCACAGCCACCTCTAGAAGTATCTCCATATTTTTAAAGACAATAGAAAAACAGTTTTTATATAAAAAAGCGTTGAACATCTTATATAAGGAATCGTGTAGGTTCTGAAGTTATGAAATATGTATGACCTTGTCCTTGACCTTAAGTTCTCTTTCTAAAGCAAGAGAAAGAATACAAACAAATAATCAAACTCCATTGTGATGTATGTCATACAAAGATGAGCGAGGACAGGGCATGACAGAAGTTTCATTGAGGCCATGAGCCCTGTTAGGTACCTAAAATATGCCCAAGTGCACAGCACTTTAGAGGGTACAGGAGAGGGGATGTGAACAGACAGTAGGATCTAGAGAATGGGGCTTCCAGGAGCTTGTGAAATGACACTCGTGTCTTCAATTGTGACTTCATCCAATCAAAGTCCTGGGAAAACCCTGGGTATGTGGAATCAAGCAAATGACTTGTTCCAAGTTTTTATAGACATATTGCTGTGATGGGAAGGCAATGGAAACATTACTGGCTTTCGATCTTTTGAGTAAGAGAGCAGTTCAAACCCAGCAATAACATTGGCACTGTCAGGGTGACCTCTCTCAGAACATGGTACCCTTAATATTTCACAAGTGTCATGTCTCTCTCAAGTTTTGAATAATTTTATTTTATTTTTTTACTTTTTGTTAAATAAAGATATACTTATCATTTTATTTTACTTATCCAATAATGAAATATAATATCAGCGATAAAGGGTGACAAATTCTCAGTTTTATTTTGAGGATTTGAAATACAGAAAAACAACTTCAGCGAAATGACTTTGCAAATCAGAATTTGTTAATTTAACATCTATTTGGATTAATTTTTTAAAAATAGGATTTTAAAAATATACATCTTTATCATATTATAGGTTAAGTAATTTTAGACTTCATATAATAAGATCAATATTAGACATAAAGAAAAGGAAATAAAGTTTATAAATATTAAAATATACATATAATTAGAAAATGAAAAGAAAAAAACTATAATTATCTTTAGATTCTTTGTTTCTTTATTCCTAAAGACATGAATGAGAAAACATTAAAATAAACAAGCTTCATAAAATGACCAATAAAATTAATTTGCAAACATCAGTAACTTTTCCATGTGCTAAAAAGTAACCAATTAGAAAATACAACACACACACAAAAATAAGATCTTATTCACAGTAATGAGAAAAACAAAGAAAAAAGATTAACACTTAGATATAAATTCAAAAAAGATGCAGGGCCAAATTAAGAAGGAAAACAGGCAAAACTCTTCAGAGGGACATAAAATAAAACAAGAATAAAGGAAAGCCATGGTTATCAAGTTAATGCAAATTAAAATGAGATAATACCCACCTGAAAGGGGTAACTCATCCACTCTCACCATTAAAACCTGAGCTCCAATTTGCTTAGTTTATCAACATCCTTGCACGGAGCCAATTCTTAGGGTAATAAGATAGAGCATTAACAAGTTTGTGAATAAGCCTCACAGAAGAAGAGATCCAATGGAAGCAGGGTATTCAGAGGGGTGCCCCTGATGGAAGATGTTAACATTTATTGTAAGTATCTCATGAATGGGTATCTTTCTTCATGGATTAAGATTATAGGTTAAGCAATTTTTCATGCTCAAAAAAAAACATGAAAAATTGCATGTTTAAGATATATATCTATGCTCAAAATAGGAAATGTCATTGTTGCTTGCAGCGGCAGCCTCGTTACCGTTGCTGTGGAAGGAGTCGGTCTCATCAGTTCATGAAGTTTTTCTCCTAATTGCCCTGTTGGACTGAGCTCCCATAAGCAAGAAGTGGACCAAGGTTTCTACTCAACAGCAGCCCTGGCAGAGAGGGGGCTATGGAACAGCAGCCTCCCTGTTTGTCTTGGTTTTGAACAGAAGCGAGTGATATTTTTAAACCTAAAGTGAGAAAATGGCAGCTCTAGTGATGACTCAAGCAATAGGCACCTGCAGCTGTTACAATCTTTGTTAATGAGAGACAGGGTTTTTTTTTTTTTTTTAAATCATTCTTGACACTTTATTTCACAAAGGCTTTAGTGTTAGACAGTCTTCTGAAGCTCTGATGTCCAACTGTACTCCACAGTGCAAGTTAGCACAGGGGCCAGCAAATCCTGTAAAGAGCCAGAGTAATTTTAGGCATTACAGCCACATGGTCTGTGTCCTAACTCCTCACATCTGCAGCTGTATAACCGAAAATAAGTAAAAGACTGTGCATGACTGTGTTCCAATAAAACTTTATGGTCACTGGAATTGAAATTTCATATGTTTCACATGTGTCACACTCTATTTCTTTTCAGCTGTCCAGAATCTAAAAGCCATGCTTATCTCCTGGGCTGCAGTACATGGTAGCCAGGATTTGGGTGACAGGCATAGTTTGCATCTCAGGATTATGGTATTCATTGATTCCCATTTGGCTGAAATTGTTACCAAGATAGGGTGTTGATGACACAGTGACAAGATCCAGGCCCTGGAGTTAGACAAGTCAGCAATACAAGCCCCACTATGCCCTTTGTATGATGTGTGATCTTAGTTACTTAATCTCCTCACCTATAAAATGGGGACATTAATTAATACCAACTAACTTGGAGGATTTTTGCAAAAAATGAGTGAGGATAACACATGTAAGAAATACAGCACTGTGTCTGGCACACAGTGGGTGTTCATTAAATGGAAGTTGGTCGCCAAGTTGATTTTGAACTTGAGTGGAAAGCACAAAGGTACTCTTCTGGACCAACCCTGGACTACAGTGTCCACCAGGGCACATGGTTACCAGCACAAATCAGTCAGTTGTGTTCAGATTGCTTTTCCAGAGTTGTGGATGTACCATGTGTCCATTTTCTACACACCTAGACTAGGTTTGGTCAGTGGAGACTGGCCTGAAGGAGACTTGGAAACAGGATTCCTCACTTACTGTGGATTCTGCTTATGGTCATTAAGGCCATTAAGGCCTTAGATACACAAAAGGAGAGTGTGAAGGTCACACTGCTGATTACAAGGACTGAAATATCTCATAGTCAGTCCTTGACTCACCCCCTCAAAGCTAAGCTGGCCATTTATCTGCTAAAATATGCAAAGCATAGAAACTTAGCCATTTTCATTTATTTTAACACATAGACACATGCATGATATAGGAGCACTCATGTGAAACAGAGGATAATCCTGTCACCTTTAGCTGAGATGGTTTAGATAGATGAGGGCTCTTGAGGATTCAGCAAACTCTGTGGTTCACCAAGAAGATATGCAAAGCATGTGCTCAGACTCCATTACCAAGCTCCAGAAACTCAAGCTCTTGGGGTCAGTCACTGCAGAATTGCCAGAAATCCTACCCAAATCACTCCCTCAGGTCTCTGAGGATCACTGGGGCAGCCTCAGCTCCACATGGTGACTGTGGCTGTGTTTCCTTAGAAGCAAATCTCAGACTCAAAGCTTTGTTTTGATTAGCAGCCCATGGCAATTTAGGTCTCCGAGATTGGTTCCAACAGGCTCTCCTCCCTCCAACCCCCAAGCACGTGAGTGCCACACCTGCACATTCACCGTGGGCACAGGCTGCTCACTTTCAGTGGTAGGCGCCTGCCACCCTGGAGTCCTACTTCACCAGTGCCCCAAGTCCTCACGAACTCCAGGGACAGACTCCTCAATCTTCCATGTGATCACCATGGCTGTGGCCCATGGGTGAACTGAGAGGCCAGAGGACTCTCTGCCAGAGGCTTTGCTGCCCAAGCACCCCTCTTCTCAGTCTATGAATGGGTGCATACTCCCATAAGACTGGTAGGCAAGAGAGGGAGCGTAGTCCCCTGTAGGCTCAGGGTCCTCTGAAATTATTTTGTTTGAAATCCTAGTTTGGGGTGAAATAACCGTTGGACAAATCGAATGTTCAGTGAGTTCCTTTCCTGGGGACTGACCTGCAGTGTCCTCTTCCTCTCTGGCTGACCTCGTCTTTTGTCACTCCAGGCCACTCTTCCTACTAAGACTCTTCTCCCCAGATTGGTATTCTTCAAGCTTTTTTCTGTTCCATTCTAATTGTCACCATAAGGAAACAGGGAAGAGACCCTGTCTACCTGCAATACCCTTGTGATTAGCCTCCAAATAATCCCTTTTGATGAGTAGACCTTTGCTCGCAACTACTATGAAATAGCCAAAGTCCCCAGAAACACTCCTCGCCTGAAGCTAATTTAAGATTGACTTTTTCTGATTTGCCCAGTTCTTCAGAGACCTGAACTTGACTGTGTTTGCTATTACATGTGTACAAGTCTTCAACCACCAATTCCTACTGGAAAAGCACCTGAAACCCAAAAACATTCTCCATTTATTTCTGTTTGCAAATTGGCTTGTTTTCTTCAGCCATCATTATTGCCACATGGAGCTAAAGAAATGGACTTGTAAATATCTACATAAGTAAAAAGGAGAACCAGCTAGTGTGAGAGTAAACATGGGTGCATGCTGGGGAGAAGGCAGCACGCAGACACAGGGAAACAGTCTGTAAATCAACCCTTGAAGTATTTCACAGAAGTTGAATTTTGCAGGTATTGACATGTCACTGACACAGTGGGGGTGGGGGAATGGTCCATCTCAGAGGTCAGCAAACTTTTCTTACAAAGGCCAATTCATAAATGCTATGGTTTGCAGGTTGCTTGTTCTCTGTCACAACCATTTTATTTTGCTATTGCCATATGAAAGCAATGACAGGTAAGGTGTCAATGAAAGAGCTTGGCAGTGTTTCAATAAAACTTTATTCACAAAAACAAGCCCTAGGCTAGATTTGGCTGCCGGCATACTCTGATGACCCCTCACCTATTTGATTTCCTAAAAAGCAGAATATGATGTCTTTATCCTACATCCCAAAACAGCATGCCTTCCGTGGTGAACTATAAAGGTAAAATTTCCAAGCTGATTCTAAGCCGCAGAGCCTGAGTTAAAGTGTAAAAGACCAGGCATCCTAAAGTTTCTAAAGTGCAGGGATTGGGTTAAAAAGTAAAAGACTAGTATTGTTAGAGTCCCTCTGCTACCCCCAAAGCCTGTAATCCCTGTAGCTGTTAGGACAATACTGGAACTGCCCAGTAAATATTTCCACTGATTTTCTGGTTGTTTAATAGCTAAGGGTTCCGAGTTGCTTGGCACGTAGGCATTGCAGGACCTAAACCAATCAGTTTGAATGTGTACCCCACCTAGGAGCACCAATCACTCCTGCCCTGATTGTTCCCGCCAATGTATGCACTAATCCTGACTCAGGGTTGTTGTTCAATTTTCCCGCGCCTCATGATGATTTGTTCTGATGTATGCAAAGCCCCCCACCCTCTCCAAAAAGTGTACTTAAGCTCCGCTTGAACTCTGCTCTGGGCTCTGAGCCGCTCTCCCTTCTTGAGTGGGCACAGAGTCCCAGTGCGCTGGAACAGGATCCTCAATAAACTTCCCCCCTGCGATTGCATGAAGTGAGTCTCTTGTGTGGTTTCTCCCTTCCGACGCTCCGCTGCACCCCAACAGAACTACTCCTCAAATTTGATCAGTAGCCTATATTATCTTTGAATCTTGCAATATCATCCTTGCAGGCAATCCTTCCATATTTCTAAGAACTTCTGACATGGATGCTGTGATCCTCATTACAAACTTGAGGAAACTCCAACTCCAAAGTCTTAAGTGTTGTACATGGTGTCAAAACCGCTCAGAACCCAAAGCACAAGCACTTAAAGATCGTGTCAGACAGATGTGGATCGGGCCTGGGATGCCTAGGAACAAGTCAATCAACAACTGCAAACCTCATTTTATCAATGGGCAAGTAAAGATTTGAGCTCATTGATCTTTAATTTCCCTTCAGATATCCTTGTCTGAAATAATACTCGGTCATCCTGTGCACTTGCTCAACTCTGGGGACCCAAGCATTTTCATAGTGGCTTCCTGGAAACAAGAAGCAACGTTTCTTCCAGAATTCAGGCTATGCCTGATTCTGAAGCAAGACCCATTGCTATAAAGTCAGAGGCATTCTTGCTCAAATGTGGTTCAATGAGTTGATACCCAGCACCACAAAAAAAAAGAAAGAAAGAAAGAAAGAAAGAAAAAGAAATCTCCCTAAAAGTTGAAAGATGGGTGGTGGCTATCATTTGGAAGGAAAAGTCTATGGAAAAACCGAAAATACATATTTATATATCTTTTTTAAATTTTAAATTTAAATGTGATAATTGGAAACAAAATCCCAGTTAATGCCAAAAATGAGTTGACTAGAGTAGAAAGCAGGAAAAAATGAATGTAGTTATTTGGGCTACATCGGATCTGTGCAGGAGTTTTTTGGCTCAAGCCCTAGGCACCAAATGTGGTAATGTGAACCGAAGAGATTTTTCAGAGCCAGATGGTGTCATAGGGTTACAGCACTCACAGAGTTAAAGGGAAGTGGCACACCAGGCATGGGTGTGACCCAGAAATGAAGATGCAGGAAGCTTAGTAACCATCTCATGTCTGACATGATCTGCTTCAAGATGCCAGCAGCGTCTTCTATCAGGTGCTGAAATTAAAATCCTGGTGGGGGGAAGTGCCCAGTGTGACATTTACTCTCAAACAGGTCCCTGTCCCATGGCAAGCAGAGGGAGTATTTTTCCCACACTAGCTTCCCTAGGAAGAGGCGACTCTTAGACCTATTCTACAATCAAAATTACACACAAGTTGGGCAAAATAATTCCAAAAAGAAAATTCCTAGGAACTGGCAGGAAAAATACTACTATTACTACTACTACTACTACTACTACTAATAATAATAATAATAATAATAATAATAAAGTGTTCTCTTCTAATAAGGGTCCTCTAATATTACCTAAAGATAATTAATTCATAAATGAGTCCATGTCCTATTCTTGGATTTATCCAGAAAAAAATGCCAGAGTTTATTGTCAAATGATAACTGGCTTTCTCTATTTGGCCAAATCCGATCTGAGATGATTAGCTTTTGGGGTCCCAAATTATTCATAAAATGCAAATTGGATTCCTAATTTCCCTATCCCAAACAGTCGTGAGATATAATTATGCACTATTAAACACCTGCTAAATTAAAATGGGATGGGCGGGGAGACAAGGAATATGGCACGGCTGAGTGTCGCTGTTATGATGATGTGAAATTGATTTTCACAGGATGCCAGCCCCAGCCAGAGGTGGCTCCACATCACAGTGGCAGGAAAATGGGCACCTGGGTGGGTGTGCTGCAGTGTCGGGCTTTCCTTCCATCTACCACATGCACCTCCCTACTGCTTGGAGAATTCAATGACTAA